AAATCATCATCATCATCATTAACATGGCCGCCAACATCATCATCATCGTCGTCGTAATGAGTATCACTACTACCAACATCATCATCGTCGTCGTCGTCGTCATCCCAATACGTTAATTAGTTCATTAATTATCTTTTTTCATGGATAATTAATTTAATTTAATTACGCCAGAACCACCTTCTAGCACTGCCATTAATTATCGCGCCGCCATTTTATAATGTAGACTATTTCAAAACTTCCGTCAGACCCCGATTTAATAACCATGATAATAATAATAATTATAATAATAACCATAATAATAATAATAACGATGATAATAATAATTATTATAATAATAATAATAACCATAATAATAATAATAACGATGATAATAATAATTATTATAATAATAATAATAACCATAATAATAATAATAACGATGATAATAATAATTATTATAATAATAATAATAACCATAATAATAATAATAACGATGATAATAATAATAATTATAATAATAATAATAACCATAATAATAATAATAACGATGATAATAATAAAATGGTGTACTACTAACTCCCTGATAGTCCTGGCGTCTGCGTTGTTCGGGTTGAAGAAATCGGCATTACTCATTGTCTGGGAGACTGCCTCCCTTCTGTATTCACCGACGTTGAACACTGTGTGTGTGTGCACGTGTGTTTGTGTGTGTGTACGTGTACGTGTGGAGAGAAAAGAAGAAGGAATGAATGAGCGGATTGATTGATTGAATAATTAAATGAATGGGTTCAAAAATGTCACACACGCCTTCTTCATATCGGAACCTCCAAGCAGCAACGAAACGAAACAAAATGGTGCAAACATGTTCCTAACTAACTACGACACCAAAACACTCCTGAATAACAGCCAAACATCTTAGCAGCCAGGCAATAAAGAAAAGCACTCTTAAAAAAACACGTTACTAATTTCATGTACATACACCACCATCCTAGCCAAACTGGAAACGAACCTTTAGTATCAAATCCGACCCAATTTAGGTACCTGGTCAGTTTTTTGGCAATGTAGGTTTTACCTCTGGCTGGTAGGCCAACCATTACTATGGCAAGTGGGGCCACGTTAATACTGGAGATGTCCATCATCTTCGCTGAGTGGGCGGAGTTGAGTTGGGAAGGGGAGGAGTTAGTAATTGATTGATTGATTCGTTTATTCACAGTTAGATCATTAAGTAATTAAGTAATTTAGATAATTATAAATAAAGGAAGATGATAATACGGACTTATTGAATACATACAAACACATACACAAGTGTAAAAACCACACACAAACAAACACAACTAATCAAACAATCAATCAAACAAACAAACAAACAGAAAACAAACACAACACTATACACACACAA